TTTATTTATTTATTTATGTTAGTATTTAATTTTTTTTCTTTATTTCATAAAAAAATATTTACATTCAAAAATTTAAAAAATAGCATAGATTTTAGTAAGTTATTTGAGTTGTTACATTGTATTTAATATTCATTACTGTAAGATTACTTTATTTCTTTAAAATTCCATTTTTTTGGTTATGTCAAACTTTTTAAGTATAAGTAATATAACATGGATTATATCTCTATTTCTAATATCATATCTAGATAGAATTTATACTAAAGATATTTTAAATCATTTACAGATGAAAGCTTATAAATCAAACACAAGTTAGAATGGTGTAAAAATCGTGTTAAGTTTACGTGTGAAGCATTTAATCTAAAACAATTCTTTGGCATGGTTATACTATTTTTTTAATTTGTTATCACTTTTTTAATAAAGCCAATTAAAATATCTTTAATTTTTCTATACTATCATTAGCATTAAAGTAATATAATATTTTTATTTTGATATTTAATAAATAATTTAATGATTAAGTTTTTTATATTAAATTAATAAAATAATTTTTTAGCATGTTTTAATCTCTAATAGGTACTTATGCCTACAAAATAATTTTATCAAAAATGAAGTTGATAGCTACTACTTTGTTGTGTCTTTTTACAACAAAAGACTTAACTTATTTTATGATATAAATATTAGCCATCATATAATATCAATTTCTTCATGAGCACATTAAAAATTAGCCTAAAAAATATACTCTATATTTTTTAAATGAATTACCTAATATAATATATTATAACTTTAAATTATTTAAATTTGAAAATTATAATACTTAAAAAGTATTATTAAGAAGTAAGTCATCATGAATACTTTCTATTTTATAGCATCTAATGTAAAGTACTTCTTATATGCTTTGTGATTTTTAAAAATAAAAATTATAAATTTTTTGTATATAATTATTTTTAATATATGATTGAATATTTGATAATAAAAAATATTATTTTTAATGATTTTTTTTAATAATACTTGCCAAAAGTATTCAAGAAAAACTAGAATTTTTATAATTAATTTTTTATTTTGAATAACTAATATAAGATCACTTTTTTTTCTTAAAAATAAAAAAGATTAATTTTTATCTAATCTTATAGCTTGATGTTTTAAAAAAAGACAAACAAGAAGTAGGAAAGTCATTAAATTTTATAAGAAAATTTTGTATAGATAATTTTTTAGTTTTTGCAATACTTATTTGATTTAACATGCCTATAAAATATAAAATTTTAATAACCTTTAATTCAATCATCTAATGAATCTTAAACTAGCAATTCATATTTAACACAATTATAATCACAAATCCACAAATTTTTACTTGTAGATTTGCTACTAATTTAAAACAAATCTCTAAAATATAAACCAATTTTACTTGACAAAAACTATAAATGCTTCAAAACAACTATGACTTTGCAAAGTTCTTACAAAGTCATTACAAATTCAAATCACCTAAAACTAATGCTCAAAGAAACTTTCTTTAATTTGTTCTTAATTTCCACTCTCTAATCAATAAAAAATAACCTTAAAATCCATAGGAATATGGTTTTGTGCCTCTAGATTTGGTTTTAATCCTAGTTCACAACCAATCCTCTTTGAATATCAATATCTAGCTTTTGAAGGTAATTTTTGCTAGAAACTATTCTTAATTTCTTAAAAAGATTCGTATATGTTTTTTTTAATCTACTTTATTTTTATTTTTTTACAATCTCACAAAGTAAATAAAAGTATTTTTTACAAAGAGATAGTATTAATACTAAATGTATTTACTACCTTCTTAACTTTTATCCATGTCTTTTCAAACTATAATCCACATTTTTTCTATTTTATCTTATAATTATGTTACAACATAACAATACTACTTCATACTTTTATTTACTTTCTCAACAAAATCAAACATGTTGCTAAATGTCATAATATCTACTCTCTCTAATAAATTCAACTACAACTCTAAATCTTTTGGTATGATATCTATTATAAAACTTATAAATAAATTATATTACAAGCAATCAATTAATATGGTTTACAAGAAATTAAAGATACATAGTTTGTACTAGAAGCTTTTCAATACCATATACATTAAAAAATTTATAAGATTTGTAAAATCAAGAAGCTTGATCATAGCATAGAAGGCAAAAAGATTCTTTTTTGGTACCTCAATTATTCATATCTTTTTATCAGTTTGAAAATAAAAGTTTAATTCTTTGTATAACTTCTTATTAAAGAAATAGAGCTTCATTGCATTATTAATGATAAGAAGTGTGAAAAAATATTTTTTTATGATTTTGTTAATAAAAAAGAAATCATGAAGACAGATAAACAAAAAGAAGTAAATTTAAGTAGAAATAGAAAAATTAGGCACTTAATTGAATTAAGTAATTATAGAGAATTAAAATTTATTAGAAAAAATAATAATTGTAAGTTGTGACAATAGAAACCTAGTCTACATTAAAAGTTATATTAGTTCTATTTAGTACTATATAGGACTACTAAACTAAGGCTAAGATGACCAAATACAAAAAGGCCAAATTACAACATAGAAGTAGAACCATAAAATTATTTCTTTATAACAACTACTTAATCATCACTAGCAATCTATTTGAAGATGAGAATAGTTGTAGATTAAAGACAATAATACTTGCAAGAGTTTAAAACACTAAGTAATAAACCATCTATTAAAGAATTATAATTTATGTATAAATTATTTTAAAAAATAATAATAATTACAAAGATCAATATTAGATTCAAATAAGAGATTTGGCATCAATCATTACAAACAATATATAACTATTCAAGTCAAAAAAAAAAAAAAAAAAAAAAAAAAAAATCAAACTTGAATACATTAAAGTATTTATAAACTACATATTAGTAGTGCGAAATTATATTAGCTAATAGATTGATGTTAACATAGTAAATAGCAAAAAAGATAGAATTGTAAAAGTAAAGAGTAAGTCTAAGAAATCAAAGATATGAATTTCAAGGCCTTATTTTTTTTGATTTTATAGCTATATATGAAGTATGAATTATTTATTAAATGACTCAAATACTTTGATTTCAAAATAAAGAAGAAAAATTGAAAAATCTTCCTTCTTATAGACAATTATGCATCTTATGGCTTAAATGGTATCAAAACCTAAAAACATCACCTACCACTTTTATTTCCCAATACAACATTCATTTTTTAACCATCAAATGTTGAAATTCTTATTGCATTCAAATAATATTATTGCAACATCCAAATATGTTTTAACCTTCATAAATTTAAAAACAAGACCAACAATACTTAGAAAATCAATATATTATAAACAATGCATTAGATGAGACATGTACATGATAAAATATCTCTATAGAAATTGGAAATCATTAGAAAGACTTGAGATTACTCAATGTTACAATTGAACAATATAAGAATGGATAACTTTATAACAATATGAAAACTATTGAGAAGATATTAAATAAATAGTACAAGATTTAAACATTAAAAAAATGTTAATTTTTTTCTTGATTTTCCATACAAATATGATGCAATACACCAAACACATAGCATATCTACAATTCCTAGTAATGGTTAAGACAATCAAATCTGACAATAATTTGGAAATCATAAAACTTATGTTGGTAAAGCCAAAAGTATACTATAAACAACTTGCCATATTGCACGTATCATTCTAAGAACTGAAGAATGCTTATGTTGATATGAACAACAACCTCCAAACTACCAAAATGTGTGCAAAGTGCAAAATTTGATTATTGCTAAATACAACAAGTTACTTAAGAATGCAACTATCAACTAATTTTTTGCTAAATAAGCCAACATAATTAAAATAAAAATTTCCAAAGGCTATAAATTCTTCACTTAAATTATGAAATTTCACTTTTATTTATTTATTGAGTATGCATTAAACAAAATAATAAGTTATTATTAGGTGAATGTCGCGAACTCACCAAAACCACTGCCAGGACATGCTTATGAACTAGGAAGACACGTCGAGAGTTCCAATGCGACAGTTGCGGAGCTTCCTGAGCAAGCCATGTCCACACCAGACGACAATCATGTCCAAAACGAACAATTCCAGTACAGAAAAGAGATTGAACGGCATCGTGCAAGGTCATCTCGCACAAGGAAATGGTCCGTTGCAGACTAATAAAACCTTTCAAGTTCATCACCAGATCTCCTCCTCACCCAAGGGCCCCACCTGGCAGTGATGGCCAATTTGTCGAAGTGTCCGTTGCCGCCCTCCAATCTAGGTAGGTACTGGTGTTCCCCCTCCGCAAACTTTGCAAAGTTGGGCGCCGCTGCAGCTTCCCCAGGTTCAGTTTCACATTCTTAGAGGACACAAGGTGCGTTTGTGAAAATTTGTGCACGGTGACGTGAAAGCTTGCGTTCCCTCCATTTTTCCTTCCCTCCATTTTGACTGCTGTCCGGCGGGAAATTCGAACCCTGCTGCTTACCTGGCACGGCTCCCGCGTTCTCTTCCCGGGGTTTGAACGCGCGAATATGCGCTCACCTTCCCTGTCGTCGCGCACCTTGGCGCTCGATTCATTCATCCCCAACAGCTCTCGCGCTCTGCTTTAAATTGTTTGCTCCCCTCCAGAGAGTGCCAAATTGCTGTTCTCAATCTTTGTCTACTGTAACTCCGAGGATATTTGCACCGCGCTGCCGTACGAAGCGTCTCGGCGAAGTTTTACTACTTGGCTTAGAGGAGAAACGAGGCTGTCCTCTTGGTCTTTCGGGAAGGGCTCCTTCGGTGGGGAAGCCGGTTATCCGTATGCGAGCATATTTAATTTTAGGTGATTGCGCCGGGCAATAGTGTTTTCCACTAGCACGAGATAGTGGGTATTGTGTGGCGAACTGCTGGGGGCTGGATTGGAAGTTTCTTTGCCTTTTAGCCAGTGAGAAGGGAGATTTTAGGTTGTGGCGGCGGGGGTAACGAGGGATTCGTTGAATAGTGCATTTGGGTGGCAACTCTGTCACAATGTATGTCATTAAGAGAGATGGAAGGCAGGAATCTGTCCACTTTGACAAGATTACCGCGCGTCTGAAGAAGCTTAGCTACGGGTTAAACCCGGAGCATTGCGAGCCTGTGCTCGTTGCGCAGAAGGTGTGCATGGGGGTGTACAAGGGAGTGACCACGAGTCAGCTTGATGAATTGGCTGCGGAGACTGCTGCTGCCATGACCGTCAACCATCCAGACTATGCAATCGTAAGCTGCTCCCACGGCATGGACCGTTGTAATTCCGATAGTTTCAGGGCCGTCCATTATTTCACTGTGATTCCAAGTTCCAGCACTGGTTTCTGCTGATTTAGCTTCCCTTCCGGCCAAGCCGAAGTAACTTCTTCCACTGTGCAGCTGGCGGCGAGGATTGCTGTCTCCAATTTGCACAAAAACACCAAGAAATCCTTCTCTGAGACTGTGAAGGATATGTATCGCCATGTGAACGCCAGATCTGGTTTGAAGTCGCCTCTCATAGATGATGACGTGTACGATCTTATCATCAAGGTAGCGATAACAATTAATGGCAAAGTTATGTCAGCTCTGTGTTCGCAATTCGTTTTTCTCCACTTGTTTTTAAGTTTCCCTGCCCATGGTCTGAATCTGTGTTTGATCCGACTTCAATTTGGTTACTAGAACGCGGCTCTTCTGGACAGCGAGATAATTTATGATCGGGACTTCGATTACGACTACTTCGGCTTCAAGACACTGGAGAGATCATATTTACTGAGAGTGAATGGGAAAGTTGTGGAGAGACCGCAGCACATGCTTATGAGGGTGTCGGTCGGCATCCACAAGGATAATATTGATGCAGTCCTAAAGACGTATCACACAATGTCTCAGAGGTGGTTCACTCACGCATCACCGACCTTATTCAACGCAGGAACTCCCAGGCCACAGGTAGGACTTGCGTTCCAATTCAACTGGATGCCATGGTTGCAATTTTTTATTTTATTTTGTTTTACTTCTTCCCTCTTGGTGGGCGGTGTAATGGAAGGTACTTATACCTGGCTTGGTGTTCGGGCGTCCAGCTGAGCAGTTGCTTCCTTGTATGCACCAAAGGCGACAGCATTGAGGGTATCTACGACACTCTGAAGGAGTGTGCTGTTATTAGCAAGTCAGCTGGTGGAATTGGTTTGTCAGTTCATAATATCCGTGCTACTGGCAGCTACATTCGTGGCACAAACGGGACTTCTAATGGGATCATCCCGATGTTGAGGGTATTCAATGACACAGCTCGGTACGTCGACCAGGGTGGCGGCAAGAGGAAGGGCGCTTTCGCTATCTATCTGGAGCCGTGGCATGCCGATATATTCGATTGGCTGGATCTTAGGAAGAATCATGGGAAGGAGGAAAATAGGGCTCGAGATCTATTCTATGGTCTGTGGATTCCAGACCTTTTCATGAGACGTGTGCAAGAGAATGGCGTATGGTCTCTTTTCTGCCCCAATGAGGCTCCAGGACTGGCAGATTGCTGGGGTGAAGAGTTTGAGAAGCTCTACACCCGTTACGAAGTTGAGGTGAACTTCCGTCTCCATTGCTTAGTATTGAGGTGCTTCATTCCAAGGCCCTACATCTTACTGTGAGATTGTTACTCTATATAGATAGTGTCTTAACGAGACGGGTCCAGTGAGAACCTTGATTAACGTTCAGTTTGGATGTCCTGGTACGCACGTCCTACAGGGTAAGGCCAAAAAGGTCGTACAAGCTCAAAAGCTTTGGTTTGCCGTTCTGGAGGCCCAGATTGAAACGGGGAATCCGTACATTCTCTTCAAGGTACTTTCTTGTGCTGTGTATATTGTTTCACTACTTGATTCCATACAAGACGTTGTCCTTGCCTCTGGGGATAATCGAGCTTGTATGGTGCTGTTTACAGGATGCTTGCAACAGGAAAAGCAATCAACAGAACCTCGGGACCATCAAGTCATCGAATCTCTGCACTGAGATTGTGGAGTTCACAAGTCCAGATGAGACCGCGGTTTGCAATCTGGCTTCGATTGCCCTACCTCGGTTTGTTCGAGAGCGGGGCGTACCTATGGATTCACATCCAACAAAGGTCATTGGAAGCAATGGGTACGAGAGCCGTTACTTCGATTTCGAGAAGCTTGGGGAGGTGAGAACCGCCACTGCATCTGATATCTGGTTTTTGAAACGATAGTTTTGATTTGGCTTCCGGTGCTTGGTTACCATACTGAAAACTGTACCTGTTCCTGATGCAGATCACTTCGCTGGTCACTCGTAATCTAAACAGAATTATCGATGTAAACTATTACCCCGTCGAGGCTGCGAGAAGATCGAACATGCGCCATCGTCCTATTGGTCTCGGAGTGCAAGGCCTTGCTGACGCCTTCATTCTGCTTGGCATGCCATTTGATTCTGAAGAGGCCCAGAAGCTCAACAGAGATATATTTGAGACCATATACTACCACGCACTGAGGACCTCATGCGAATTGGCAGCAGAGGAGGGTGTCTACGAAACGTATGATGGATGTCCTATTAGCAAGGGACTCCTTCAACCGGATATGTGGGATGTCAAGCCCTCCTCAAGATGGGACTGGGATGCTTTGAGACGCATGATTGCTAAGAACGGTGTGCGTAACTCTCTTCTTTTGGCTCCCATGCCCACAGCATCAACCAGTCAAATCTTGGGCAACAATGAATGCTTCGAGCCTTACACATCGAATATCTACAGCAGACGAGTACTGAGGTAAGTGAGTGCGCTGTTAGAATGATTGTGGAAGTGGTTGTCTTGTGTGTGGATCACTGTGAATCTGATCTTTCCTTGCGTTTTGCAGTGGCGAGTTCGTTGTAGTCAACAAGCACCTTCTCAACGACTTGACTGATCTGGGCCTGTGGACCCAAGACCTTAAGAATCAAATCATTTACCACAATGGCTCCATCCAGCAGATTGATGCCATACCTGCGGGATTAAAGAAAATATACAGGACAGTTTGGGAGATTAAGCAAAGGGCAATTGTGGACATGGCAGCTGCGAGAGGTGCTTTCATTGATCAGAGTCAGAGTTTGAACATTCATATGGACCAACCGAACTTTGGAAAGTTGACTTCTCTGCACTTCTACAGCTGGACCAAAGGTTTGAAAACAGGAATGTACTATTTACGGTCCAGAGCCGCAGCAGATGCCATCAAATTTACAGTAGATCAAAGTAGCATCAAGGTAAGACATACACCCTCGTTCTTGTAATAATCAGTAGTACTCTGCTCCTTGCACAGATGCTTTTCTACATTGTGGTGACATGATTTGGTTATTGTGCTGCAGACCAAGCAAGCAACACCTGCGGCAGCTATTGCGGAAGATCTGGAAGTGAAGTTGTCTCAAATGGTGTGCTCTTTAGAGAATAAAGAAGAGTGTATGTCTTGCGGCAGTTAGGGGAAGTTTGGATTGTAGCATAGGTGTTCATCGTCATCATCCCATATTCCTTAGTAGGTAGGACAATGCGCAATTGACCTCGATCCTGCAGTGAAAATTAGAATGTATCATAACGAAGTAGCTTGTATATGCCTCATTTTTAAGACGAAGTTCCATTCTTACAACTTGTGTAATGTTTGTTGAGCGGCCTATACTGGCAAGATTCATTGTGGTTGTGGTTGCACAGCATAAAACCATCGGAGAATAATTCATCGATGTATCTACCACTTCCCTGGCTGAATTTATTAACCAATATAAAATCATCGTCCATTTCGAAGAAAGGGAAATACTTGATTAAAATCTTCTTATTCTTCCCACCAATACTTGTTCACACTACTCGCCAGCGAAATGTACTTTCATGAAAATCTCTCGAAGCGAAACCTCAAATCATATTTCTCCTCTTCTGATTTATCCTGTACATGTTCCACTTTAACTGAATACAAGACCAGATGAGATATTTTCAAAACTGGAATATTTCATCAACAAAAAAAACTGGAAAAACATCACCTCTCACGACGCCTCTTCACTGTTTCTCTGTTAAATAGGAATAACAGAAGCATTGTCGAAACCTATTTGCAATTCTGGAAGTCTACTCATTTCGTGCTGACGTAATTTCGTGTTGAGGTGAAGATCACAGTTAAGGGTGTGGGCTTACCGGATTTTCTTCTGTTCAAAGGGAGTGTCTGCGAGGACTGACCCCCGTCCCCAGTGCGTAGCATCCCTTTCAGAGATCTAGGTCGCAGGAGAGGCAATCGAGTTGTGAGTTGCTTGCCTGACCTGGTTGTTTACGCTAGTAGACCTTGAGGTTGTTGATATTTGTTACTTCAGCTGCGGGTTTGGAAGGGCTTAGAGCATAATGGCGGTGGACAAGGACTTGGAGGATTTGGCATTCTTCCTGAAATCTCCCTCTCCAAATCTGAGGAAGGCCGCTGTGGAGATTGTGCAGGGGCTCTCTGGAACCGATGAAGGTGTGCGAAGATTGTCAAGCCACGCTTCGGCTTTGTTCTCTCCCCTGGTCAGGATCTTGGTCGAAGCGGAAGAGGTTTCGAAGCCAGCGGCGGAGGCGCTTGTCAATTTGTCGCAAGACGTCGCCGTTGTAGATCATTCGATTAGGGTTGGTGCGGTTGAGAGGGCGATGGAGCTGATTGGGAAGCCTGGCTCTAAGTTGAACAAGTTCATGGTGATGCTGCTTGTAAATATCTCGAACATCGACAAGGGTGCCTCCCGGCTTCTTCAAGAGGGAGATGAGAAGCTCGCTGGATTAAACATCGCAAAGCTTGTCAGGTTTTTCTCTAGATTCTCGTCGTCTGAAGTAGCAGGTGACGATGAGTACGAGCATGTCGCTAACATCTTAGTTAATATAACTAGGTTAGAATTTGGCCGGAAGGTGGTTTTGGATATGAGCAAGGGAATCTTGAGGCAGATTTTGCCTCAAATTGATTCCCGAAGTGTGGTCAGGCGGCAAGGCGTGGCTGGAACCGTGCGTAATTGTTGCTTTGATGCCGAAACATATTTGCCAAGTCTTCTCTTGGCGTCCGAGTTTTTGTGGCCGGCTTTGCTGCTTCCTTTGGCGGGGACAAAAGTGTACAGCGAATTGGACACTGCAAAGATGCCTTTAGAGCTAGCCACCCCCTTGTCTCAAGAAGACAGAGAGCTAGAAACTGACCCAAAAGTTAGGGTTGAAGCTTGTGAAGCCATTTACTTGCTTCTTCTTCAAGAAGGCGGGAGAAGGGCATTTTGGGCAATCAATGGACCTCGCATTTTAGAATTAGGTTATGAAGAAGAAGAAGACCCCAAGGTCATGGAAGCATTCGAGCGTGTAGGCGCATTGCTTGTAGGGGGGTCTGGGACTGACGAAGAAGCCGTGCAGGCATGATTTATAGACTGGACATGGTTACGTTTTAGGGTTCAGAGTTACTCCGGTATTCGGTTCATCTGTAACGGTGCAAAAGTAAAGAAGTTGCTGAGAAAAAGCTATCTACCTCAAATTATTGGGTATTCGCCCTGCTTTGTTTATTGTTTTTTTTTTGATGTTTTGGAACATGTTGGCATACTAATAGTGAAAGTTTTATCCAATTGTGATTTTTGCTACGGCTGTTTCAATTCAAAACATCATATTTACACCAAGGATACAACTCAGACGTCTGTTCAAATCGTATGATTTTTACTATCGACCAGCAACTTCGCCAGAATTGGTGATATAACTCCGTAGTATGAAGCGTTTGCACTGTACATTCACATTGGAAGGCAATATCACAGAGTGACGGAAGCAGTCATTGGTATAATGTTTTATGTGTGCACTATGGTAAAATCATAGTTTACAATAGGGAAAAGAGGGGCATCGATCTCTTAAAGCACTAAAACCTGATTCCACCTCCCGTGAGAATTAACTTGATATGCATGTTTCAAGAAAATGTTACAGTTCATTAGGTCAGTTCGCTAGAAATCCATTGCATGCTGCTTGCCTAGGATAGTGCTACTACTTTACTCACAGGTCAGAGTACAATGTCGATTAATATCCTGAATCAAACAACATAACTTGTGTTTTGCTAGTTTAAGTCTGGAATCAGTAGAGGTCATAAACCACTGTGATTGGCCGCACTTGGGAGAGATCCAAAACTTAGAAATATGCATCTCACGATCATTCCGTACATGGTTTCGATGGAAGCTCTCCTTGAGCCAAAATTCCTCTGTTCTTTTCACGCCCTTTCCGTGCAGCGGAGGCTTTTAATCATGCATTTGTGATCATGTACTGGGGATTGTTGAGTAACAGACATTAGGGTCATTCACGTTTTCAGGATCCTTTCAATACATTGCACCATACCTTAACATACAGCTTTCTAGTCTGTGTTGCATTCTCGAAATTTTTCATGATTGATACCATTCTCTTACTTCGGCACCGCTTTTATTTGTATTCTTCGCTGCTTTGACACCCCCATTCAAACACGCCTTTCTTCCTCTTTAGGTGAGGAGTCATTGGGCGGTTGTAGTAATGGTGGATTTCTGCTAGGATCGTTCATGCTCTGTATTTAGGTGACCGTCAAAGATGGTTGGAAAACTCAACTCAGTGGGCAGATTTTGGTTCAGAATGAATAAATTCTAGTTTTTTGCTACTGATACCTTCAACCGGGTGATCTGGAGCTGATTCATATTCTAGAGAACTAAATGAATTCTTGGATTCTCATTTCACTCATTGGAACGCTAGGCATTAATCAAAGGCTTTAGATATCCTCAGGTTCTATTCGGGTATATTCTTGTAGTGCATGTTCACCTTCAGAGCAGTTTGAGACATAGTAAGTTGTCATCCACGTGAAGGTTGGATTATGGGTTGTTGAATGCCGCAGAGGACAGGTTTCCATGAGGACACACCAAGAGTGCTAAGCTTCACATGCCTCAAGAATAGGCACTTCCTGTTACTCGGAGTTCAGAATGTCAGCTTGAGTTACGTGGCTGTTCTCAGAAATCAAGAGCCAGAAAAGAGCAAGCAGTTACTATACGGATCCACGAACGCCGTGGTTACACATGGATTGTGTTCCAGGCTGCCTGAATATGTATCCGCTAGAAGAGATCGAAACAAACTGTATACGTAAATGCCGACTTATAATGCGGACCATGACTACGGTTTCACCCTGGCACTCTTTTGACTAAGAACACATGGCTTACGGAAATGGCACCTAAAACATATTCACGAGTCCCAAGAATTGTGATATATTAGCTTGTGTTACGTGGCTCGTTTCACTAGCATCAACAGCCAGAAAAGAGCAAGCAGTTACTCTCCGGATACAGGAACGCCTTGCTTACACATTGATGGTGATGCAGGCTGCCTGAGAAAGTACCCGCATGGAGCCACAAACATTAACAAAAAGACCTGACCCGATAAGCATTTGTAAAAACAGCTATAGAAACTAGGTCCCGTCGTGAAAACAAAACGCGCAGAAGCTGGCTATTTAATCTCCTCAGATCAGATCTTTTGGTGTATTTTTGAAAGCCTTCATAGATGACCTCAAGAATTTCAGTCTGCATCATCGAAGTTTCAACACAACGGAAATAGACGACGAGCAATACTACGACTTCACCACAGACGGGACATGTCTATATTGAAGCGACAGTGTAAACCGAGGCAGCTACTAAAACCTAACCCTAACACTAAGCAAATTTCTCTGCTGGAGAAGAGCCCACGCTTGAAAGATGGTAAGTTGAGTCAAGGAAGGGATACTATATAGGTGACCTGACAACCGAGAATGGATCTTGGAGGAGCCTAAGACCAACCTCGACCTAATACCGTCTGTCCATATGCATTCAGACGGTTCCTATCCCCGATAAATTTGGTGATAAGCTCCTCGGTCATACCCGATAACCGCGCCACTGTGTGGAGATGGGCGAGGGATCGGATTGACTGGCAGTGTGATCTACATTTTGCGATATGAAAAATCAAAATCAAAATCAAAATCTGAATCAAAATCAATGAATTATGTAAACAATAAATGTGGAGATGAAAGTTATCAAAAATATAATTAAATATTTATATTTATATTTAAAATAAATTGAATGCAACATTAATTTCTGTGCATAGATAGAAGGGAAGAAATGGTGGAATGATAAGAACAGGCACATGTATGTGTATATGATTGAACGTTTTCATACACGTTAATAAAAATTAAAAATAAAGTAATGTCATTCACATTCTAGAAACATTGACCCAAAAAGGAAAACAAAGTTCACGAATTAACATCAACAACCATTGTTTTGTTACTTTTGTTGAAAAATTCAATTTTCATGAGAATCAATATTCATCCTCCACAATTGTTAACAAGCAGTTCTCTTTATTTTTTAAATTTCGAGTCCAGGCCATTTCCCATTCATCCTCAATTCATCCAAGATTCACATTCATCCACTATCCGTTCCTTGGCCTTGGACCACGGGTAGCCGTTGACCAGTGGAAACCTTCTCAACACAGTGAGGAACCCCAACCTCAGTCAAGTTTCTCACCCACCTACAGCTAGATTCCTGCATACTTTACCCACACAATGTTCCTGTGAAGCAAGTCTCTAAGAATGCCAATTGCTGATACTCCCTAAACAGCGGAAGTTTACCATGAAGTACACTAGGCTCTTCTTCAAGCTTGTAATTAGGAAGAGTCTCAAAAGTGCATCTGGATGTTGTAACCAAGTCGTGAATGTACAAAGTGAGTCTGCTCGTACATTGCTCTTACTACATTTAGCTCTCCAAAGTGGTTGATTGAGATCTTACTGCACGAATTCGACGAAAAACCGTCAAAAACAGTACACAGCGGTACACACACGTGGCCATCCCCGTGCTACTCCTCCCGATATACCTGTAAATACATATAAATCTACAACTACTTCAATACATTCACGAGCTCAATAATGAGCTTACGGCTCTATCTCACTGTACAGCTTTTAGTCATATTACTTGAAAATAAACCTACTACAAACCATCCTCGTCTTTGCGAGAGAGATGGATTACAAACCGGTCGACTGAAACCAAACCTTCGAACTTTCACCATTTCAGGGACGTGCACAACGAAGTGTTTGAATTCATACATTCTGACCAGTCACGTCGCATTGTGATGAGTATGATACAGGCAACTATTAACCCCAGCTCGGTATAAATGCAGAGGCGCTTGTACTGCAGGCGCAACGTCCTCGTCCACCTCCACTGTAGCAGCGATTTCAAAGTTCTGTCCCGCAGATACAAAAAAGACATCCCCCTTTTTCACACTAGTGACAGTTTGACGGTCAGATTGTGCAACGACACCGATCCCTTCAAAGACGATGAAAATAGAAGGACCAAGATTTTCAAAGTTGATTGATTCGCCCACAGGTACCACAATGTGGTCCACTTCAAATTCATCGAATGGTGGGGTGTATCTGGTGGTACAAGCACTGACAGGTGTGCCAGTCAACATATCAGGCAAACCCTGTGCATTACAGCCAACCGGGGACCCAAATTAGCTGTAGAAGTGATCCTTCATTACAAATCACTATATAGTTATGATAATGCTCACACATTCAATTGAGACCTCAAAGTGTCCTTAAGTTAATCCATTTGGCCCGAGTATTTACCTGCTTATAAGTTAACATTGAACACAGTGTCTGTGTGTCTCGATACTTGGGTGTGAAGCCCGCTCTGACCACATTGTCCGAGGCCGCCATGCACTCAATAATCTCTCCAGACAAATATGCATGAGGCTCATTGGCACCTAGACACACAGCCTCACCAGGACTAAGCCTCAGATAGTTCAGGAAAAATATTGACAACACGCCGATATCTGCTGGATACTGTTTCTCAAGCCGTAGGACTAGCTCCTCTTTCTCTGTAAGTTGCCGGACCTGCCGTGAGAGAAATTACTCACAATGAGCTTCCAGACAAAAGATACATGCAAAGAGAGGCTCATTGCAAAAAGACTTCAGAAGTTCACGAAGGAAAGAAGTGACATGCCTCTTTCTCTTCGACGAGGCGAATGACAAGTTGTGAGACTGTACTAGACACCACATCATTGCGTAGGGTCATGAGAATCGTATATGCTTCTTTCAGTTTTCGCTTTGACTCGTCTCCACTAACTTTGCATTGTCCAAGCTGGATGAGAGCTTCACTCGTGGCCTCTCCCAACACTGACCTAAGTTCAGGCACTGTTTCCACTGCTTGCTTAAGCTCCTACACATAAAATCAAAATTTCGCAATAAGCTTACCACAGGCGCAACATGAAACTTGCTAAAGTACAACCACACAAGATTACATAAACTGCGGGTAGTTCTTTAAGCCAAACTGAAATAAGAATTACACCATGACATTGACATCACACAAGAATAAAAAACCTGAGGCTAATTTCAAGCACAGCCGACCTATGGGGTCATTTAAATGCAAAATCACACGTGATAATATAGCAACTCTTCAGAAGTGATTTTAAAGTCGCAACCCATGAAGGAAAAAGATTCATACCTCTGGAGTGACAAAACCACATAAGGCCTCAAAAGGGGTGAGGGCAAGGGCCATTTCTGGCTTATGATTGGCATCCTTGTAATTGTGTGGTTGAGTCTCGTGGAGGTATTGACCCAACTTTTTGTCAGGATGCGCCTGAATGGACAACGCCTTTGCCACAGACAATACCTACAAGTCCTGATTGATTATGATCAGTTCCATAGAAAGGCTATACAAAGCCTCAAACTTAGTGAGGCAAATGCGTTCTGTAGGAAACTAAAAGATTAAACACTTATGGCATGGCATTGGCATGTACAAACCTGCTTTCTAAGTTTTTCTTTTCGACAATGAACTAGGGCCAACCAGAGACTTGAATTCTAACACATTGCAGTAGATAACCTTGCAAAGAGGAAAGAAAAAAAATAAAAATACGAAGAAAAAAAAATAATAAACACAAACATAGCCAAAGACTGTTCAGATGTATTGAGAACGAACCTTGAAAAGAAAAGGCAACTCCCCTTCCCAGCGCTCTATTACGTTCTGCCCTAGTGCTTCAGGATGTGTATCAAGCCAATCCTTGAGAAGGACCTCCGACTTGTCCTCAGCAACAACCCGTGAGGGCCCGGATCTGTGAGTGCCCATCCAGAGCTCCGCATAAGGTATATCTTCCACATCTTCCCCCGACGCCAAGGCATGCAACCGGCCTACTTCACTAGCCGCACCAATGCGACCCCACTCATAATGCTGAACAGCGCATAGTAATCGCAACATTTTACGCCACCTCGTACTCCACCGAAGACAACTAAACGCAAAATTCTTAGCACGATTGCACCACTAAACTCATTCCTGCACGAACCACGCGACAGAACCTCAAATTGAGCAAGGCTCCCGCTACTAGATAACTAAGGCAATTCGAAGCATCAAGGCATAATGCAACCCAATTATTCGAACCACTATTCGACACAGGAAGCCAATTATCGTTCAAAATCCTAGCCCCAATAATTCAAACCCACCCAGATCTAAATCTCCTGCAAGCTCCCAGAATCGGTTAAACACAACATCCCTGGGAGAATTGGTCAACAGCCAAATTTGACAGCACCCACTGCACAAAAGGCTCTCCGACACGAATCTAGTAGCTCAATTCGCCCCAACTCAAGAAGACCCTCGACCACTCAACCACCCAAACCCCCACAGGCCAACACGCCTCTGATTAAGAATTTACCTTTAGACCCCTGTAAACTGCGAAGTAAAAGTTGAAGTGAGTCGATCAAGAAAACGATGCGAATCGAATTGGACACAGGCTATGCGAATACTGGCATGGGAAGCATCGCAGCCAGGCTAGGCAGGAAGCATACATACGCAGGACGGGGCGTGAGCTTGATCACGATGAGCCCTGGACATGACCATGACACGCACGACGCATCGTTAACTGCACATGTTGCTCGCACCGATCCTGCACAAGCCCTGCAGCGTACTACAGTCCGTCTGTCCGTCCGTCTGTCCGTCCGTCTGTCCGTTCGTCTGTCCGTCTGTCTGTCCGTCCGTGCGCACCTTTGCCGCCCGTCCCCCCTCACCTCCTGGAGCACCGCCGACCGCAGCGATTGCCCAACTCGGTCCACGCTTTCTAATGTGCTCTTTTCCTTTCCTGTTTCTCTTTATTCCAGGGTGGCCCTTCCGAGGTGGAGGTTTGCCCACAGGTGGCGCGCTATCTATCGATTGTGGGGACGGCACCACAAAGCGGTAAAGCTTGGGGAAAAAACTGGTGCGAGTGTTAAATTCGGAGGCGAGTGGGAGGCATCGATCGGATCTGGACACGGTGATGCTCTGCTGCAAGCGAATTAGGGGTCTGTTTCCCCTTCATCACTACAGCCGATCATGATTAGTGATCAAAAGTCTAGCTTGAATGGCACCCTCCTCGTGAGCCCTAATTCTGATTTTGCTCATGTTTTTTCTTATTCATCACCATTATTTGTTGTTCATTTTAGCTGGACTACTAAAAATGGCGGAATCATGGCCTCCAGATGCTTGGACCCATTCTTCCCTTCAAAAAGTCTTTCCATTGGTGGAAGTTTCGTGGTGAGAGGGCTTTGCTGCCCCAAGCCCACGCGTACATTTTTTTGTGGTAATTGCGTGCAGTGCACAATAATATGGTACCAATTTTATTTGGAAGAATATCAGTAATGGGTATTAATAGTAGAGGCATTATTCATAAATAAGCTGCTCCATTAAAGGTTTGAAGAACGTGATAAGTGTGAGAATAGTTTTTAGATTCTTTTCAGTAACCGTGCTGAATCACATGTGAGAACACCTATTTTCCTTGTCAATGAAATTTATGCATAGACTTTCACTTCTGTTGATCAATGTTAATGTAATAGTATTAGAAATGAATGTAACCATTTACTGCTAAACTAAGGGTTGTTGAAACAACTTTCTAAAAGAATGTGGATTTTAGTCTCATGTTGAAGAAATGATTGCTTTACCAACCATTCTTAAAAATAAAAAATATACTTTTTTAGATTTAAAAATGAAGAAAATAGAAACTACTTTTTTTAGTAGTTAAAAGTGATTTAGAATATATTACATTCAAAAACTATTTATTTAATCTACAACTATTTTATTTTATTGTATTTGGTACAAATAAAAATAATTCTATTGCAAGGAATTAGTACAAGGTATTTGATCAAGATAGAACTTATAAATTCCACCCAAATAATGAATTACTACTAGGACCTACAATGAGTGATTTTACAACCTTGTCATAGACATACATATTTATCATAATATTTACTCATATGATTAAATAGAAGTAGGTAAAACTAGATTTGTTTCAGTATATTTTCTAGAAAAGCTTTCTAGAAGCTTCATAGATGTTGCTTTGACTTTACATGTCTTTATAATTGATTAATAGATTAGAAACTTAGTCAAAAAATTTACCACATATTGATAGCTTATAGAACAAGCTAACTATGTGGCATACATATAGAAAACTTGCCTTATAAGTTAAGATTCATGTCTTCTAAAGTCAACACGTTTTGGAGGTCCTATAAGATATTGCCTCATAGCTCTTAGTTAAGAATATATATGGAGGCAAGAGAGAAGCCTTCTTCACTCTTATCAATGCCTTTCTAGTCATTAGTCTTATTTCAAGACTTTCTAGTCTTCTTGTCTTTGATAATAGCCATTGTAGTTTAATACTATATCATCTTTGAGTGATTTTTTAGTCTTTTTAAGTGTTATAAGAGTGTATTGATATTTTTAGAACTTTGAGGTTCATGTCTTTGATAATTTTAAAAGTGTGTTAACTTTTTATTCTTGTCTTGTTTTAAAAGTGAGTAGATTATCCCACTTCTATTATTTTGTTTTGAAGGTTGTAGATTATCTACCTTTAAATAAACTATTTAGTTTTCTAACAATATATATATATATATATATATATATATATACATATATTCTTAAAATAAGCATATTATCCATCTTTGTAGAAAATTTCATTCAATATTAGAGGTTGCGGATTACCCTCCTCTAATTTGACTTGTAAATTTGTTAAGTTGTTTGAAATGGAAGAAAAAATCATAGATGCTATACTTAGTGGAAGTGAAAATAAATTTGCAACTATTGCATGTCTTTACAAACTTCTTAATACTCTCAGAGTAGAAATTTCATGCATCACTAATGCCAACCATAGAAACACTAATCCTACATCTATGAAAGAAGTTCAGAACCTGCAATAAGAAGTTATGCAATTAAACGAAGCAAATAAATCTACCTCACAACCAAATCTAGGAAGTTTTCCTTTTATAAGTATGATGAAGAATTAGATTAATATGCTAGATAAGTTTGATGGAACGAGATCAAAACTTTGAGGATTTCTATAACAAGTCAAGCTCTATTTAAGGTTGCATCCCTTCTGATACTCTAATGGATTTATTCAAGTTGGATTTATAGGTACATATTTATTTGAAAGTGCTCTCTTTTTATTTGCATCTTTAATAGAAAAAGATTTGCAATTCATTTATGTTTTGAATTCATTCTTAGAGTTGTTTATGGCTACATTTGGAGATAGTAATCAAAAAAGAAAAATAGAAACCAAACTCTTCTCTTTAAGGCAAGGAACATGGTCAGCTACCATATATTTTACTGAATTTCAAAATATCACTTGCGATGTGGACTAGAATGATAAAGTCTTTATAAATAAATTTTGATATGAATTGAAGGATAATGTTAAAGATTTGTTATTGATAATATTAAAGGTAGAATTTTTAGAATAATTTATTGCTTAAGCCATTGCATGTGAAAATTGATTATTTGAAAGGTGTCAAGAACAAAGGCCTAACTAAAGAGGAATAAGTCAAGTAATAATGATAATTTTAAAGTTTTTAGAAACTTATTCATCAAGGCTAGAATCAATGCAAATTGATATAATATCTTTTAAATCTCTTACAAAGTAGAAAAAGATTTGACGTCATGAAAAAAGTTTTTTCTTATATTGTAGAGAAGCTAATTACATTACTCAATATTGTGTCAAAGATATGAATCTCAAAAAAAGAAAATCCTCAACACACTCTTGAATTACTGAAAGGAACAAGAAAGTCACTCAAAGATGATATAATATTGAACTAGAATAGCTATTGCCAAATAATAAGAAAACTAGAAAGACTTGAAACAAGACTAAGGACTAAAAAGGCATTGATAAGAATGAAGAAGGCTTCACTCTTGCCTCTATATATACTCTCTAACTAGGAGCTACATGGCGATATTCTATAAGACTTCCAACATGTGTTGACTTTGTTAGCTACATGTTTTAATTTGCAATGCAAGTTATATATCTATGTGCCACATAGTTAGATTATTCTATAAGCTATTATATGGAGTTAACTTGTTCCGCAAGCTGCAAATACATGGTTAACTTGTTGGCCAAGTTTCTAATCTACAAAGACATCTAAAATCAAAACTGTATTTATAAAGTTTCTAAGAAGCTTCTCTAGAAGACTTTATGAAATTAATCTATATTTATCTACTTTTACTTAATCATGTAAGTAATGATTGTGATAAATATATATGTCCATGATATTATCCTCCCTTCTATGGATGAATTCCATGAGGAGTGGTTATCATCTTTTATAGATCTTACAATTCTTCATCTTGATTTTAATGGATGTCATTAATAAAAAGCTTCAACTCTCTTTGTTGCATTCATAAGATTCTTTGTTAGCTTCTATGTGCATTTAATAATATCATATCTATGCCAATAAATAAGATATTCTAACTTATTTCGGTGCCACCTTGAATCTAAGACTTCTTCGACCTTAAACTCTTTAATATTATTCATTTCTATAGAAGGAGGCGACATTTGTCTTCTTTTCAAGATATTCACTATCTTATATGGCTCAAGAAGAGACATATGAAATATAGAATGAATCTTCATAGACTTCGATAGATGTAATCAATAAGCAATATAATTGATTTTTTACAAATACAAAAAAGGTCCCGGCTTACAATAGTGCAACTTATCACAAAGATGAGTAGTCTTATTATAACAAAGTAATCATACCTTATTACTCACATTAAATTGTACTTGTTCCTTGCAATAGGCATCTGCATTGGTCTTTTGTTGTTCTTGAGCTTCCTTTAATTGTGTCTTCATTGTTGCATGTAGCTCTGACAAATGATTTGCTAAATCTTTTGTTGTAAGATTATTAAATTTTGAAAAGTAAAAAGTATCAAGTCATGGATGGTAACCATAATTAGCAAAGAAAGGTGTTTATTGAATAGAAGAATGTACTAAATTATTGTATGCAAACTTTACCAATGGCAAAAGAGTTATCTAATCATCTTGATGATAATTGATGGTATACCTCAAATATTGCTCCAAAACTTGATTCACCAATTTTGTTTGTCCATCAATTTGAGGATAAAAAGCCAAAGAAAGCTTTATTGTAATATAATATAGATAAGATAATTATATAGATAATTAGAACCATCAAAGTTTCTAAAATTGAAGTTAGTTTAGTGGATCAAGTAGGATCCATTGTAGAATATTTTAGAAAAGATTTAAGGTGATTATTTAGATAGGATCCACCATAAAATCTTCTTAAAGAAGCTTAGGAAAATTATCTAAGTAGATCCCATCATAGAACCTTCTAAAAAAGAATTTAAGGTGGTTATTTAAGTAGGGCCTACTACCTAGGAATATTTTCAAAAGTCTAGGATGATAGGATACGGTATAAATAAGATTTTTTGGAGCATTTGGTCAGGTATGGCTTTAGATTCTTTTTTTTAATAAAATTTGGTTATGCATCTTTCTGTTCAGTTCTATTTTGTTTTGTTTTTGTTTATTTGGTTTTGTCTTTAATGTCCTATGCTGTTTAATTCCATTTAGTTTTGTTTTGGTATGTTTTGTCCTATTTTTTGATGAGGCCTTATGTTGTTGTAGATTAGAAAGATTT